GGTCCATTATTTCTGCGAACATCGACTCCTTTGCCACCAACGCCAGCTGCTTACAATGGAATGCAGATGCTTTCATGCTGCAGGAAGCCAGGGTGGCCGATTCCAACATGACCGAGTCGCAGAGGAAAGCTGCTCTTTGCAATTTTGGCCTTTTCTGTTCTCAGCCTTTGCACAAACTGCGCGCTAGTAACGGCGCTTTCAGGATTCCTTCTGGCGGTGTTGCCACTTGCGCTCACAAAGAACTCACGCAGATTTTTGAGGACAAAATGGATGTTTCTGGAGCTTGGTCTATCCTTCGTGCCACTTGTCGGGTCACAGCTACTTGGCACCAGGTATCTGCAAGCGTTAAGTTGTTGGCCTTCAACTTCTATGCCGTTGCCAATGCTGCGTCTGAACGACCTAAATTTGAGCGGAACAATGAGATGCTGGATCAAATCTTTATGGTCGCATCCCAATTTGCTGATATCCCCATTGTCATTGCAGGCGACTTTCAAATGGAGCCGGGTATGTACCCTTCTGTGCAACTCGCCTTGGACCACTGGGGATGGGCGGACCCCCTGCTCCAGACCGACGATACTGGAGAGGTTATTCGGCTTTGCACCTTTTTTCAGCATGCGGCTTCTGTTGATGAAGGGCAATCCTCTATTGACGGTATTCTCATGAACCGCACTGCGCTCGCAGCCTTGATTCGTATAGAGGTTTTGGACCACAGAGACCGCCAACATCGACCTGTCCAAGCAACCTTTGCCTGGGATCGTATTACTCAGGCTGGTACCATCATGCAACGGTCTGCTGCCTTGGATCTCACACAGGTCACGACCTGTAATGTGGCTGACCCTGCCTGTCCGGTGAACACCTTAGCTGAACAGATGTGGCGACAACGTGAGCAAGATTTTTCCAACGAGCCCGACCCCTGCAAAAGATGGTCGATCTTTAATCACTTTGCCATGCATGTGCTGCTGGTGAATGGGGCTACTTGGGAGAAAGGTCCGCGAGTGCGGGGTCGCCTTCCTAAGTTCTGCAAAACCACCATGGCTACTTCGCAGGAGGCTAATGGCAGTGTGGCGTCGCCACGGCTTCAGTTGTTGCAGGCATGCCTTCGATCCCTAAGAGAGCTTCAAGTTCGTCTCGGTCGACCGTGCACTGGCACTTCGGACTACCATACGTTACTCAACACCCAGCGACGGCTGCTCCGCAGATTGAAAGAAGCACAAGTTGTCCCCGGGGCTGTGAAAACACTCTTCCTGCAGGATTTGCACCATGTGGCGGAGCTTGTTTTGGTAGCCATCAACCAGGAGCTGCAGCAATTGAAACTTGCTGCCATTCGCAAGTGGAGACAAGCAATGAAGAATGCTACCACCTCCTTGACGATAGGGAAAGTTGTCTACCAGTACCTCAAGAGGAAAGGCCGCGTGGTGCCGCAAAATCTCATTGAGGATGACTCTGGGAACATTGTCTTTGATCCGCAGACTGCGATGGATGTGATTGCTAACAAGTGGGATGCTGTTTTCTCAGTGAATGTGAGTCACCAGCATGAAATGCAGATCCTGAAACAAGTTTGGCCCTATATTCATGATAAAGCTCGCCCTGTTGCCTTGCCGCCTATCACAGCCCGGCAACTTTGGGAACAAGCCTTGCGTCGGAAACCTGAAGCGGCAGCTGGTCTCGATGGGTGGCGTACGCGTGAAGTTCAAGCTCTTCCACCAGCTGCCTTTCAACCTGTTGCCGATCTCTTCAATGATATTGAAGCAGGATACTCTGAGTTCCCGGTGATCCTTACTCAGGTGCGAGTGATCATTTTGAACAAGGATGGAAGTGACGCTCCGCTGGCAAAAAGGCTTATTGCCTTGCAGTCCATTTTCACTCTCCTATACACCGGCCTGCGTTTCCTCCAGTTACAAAGTTGGCAACAGCAGATTATGCCTTCGCAGCTGAAAGGAGGTATCAAGATGCGCCAAATGACGGAGGTACACATGACGCTGCAGCTTGAGATTGATCATGCGCACAGCTTTCAAGGCCACTTTGCAGCCTTGAAGCTCGACAAGTCGAAATGCTTTGACCGTTTGATGCCTAAGCTTTGTGCTGCAATTATGTTGGCATTGGGCCTTCCAACGGGCTTCGTGCGAGCTTTCCTATGCCTCTATTTGAGGATGACGCGTTTCCTTTCCTTCAAACAATGGACCAGAGCTGCTCCGATCTCCACGCCAAACGGCGTCGTGCAGGGTTGTTCGCTCAGTCTTCTTTGTATCAATCTCCATATGGCCATTTGGGCTTGGCTGATGGAGCATATTGAGGGAGTGGATTTCCGCGCCTTCATTGATGACACATACTTGTGGTCGCGGCAACCTACGATTGAGTGTCTTGTCTCCGCTGTCAAAGCCACTGAATTGTGGGATTCTCTTTGTGGCCAATTCCTGAACGCAAGCAAATGTGAGGTCTTTGCCACTACTCCTGACCTCCGACGTGCACTAAAAGCTGCGTTTCCGGAAATGCGACTTGTTGAGGTGGTGAACATCTTGGGAGCCTTTGTGCAAACAACCAAGAAGAATGTTGGTTCCTTTCCTGCTAGCAAGATACAGGCCGCTCTCAGAGATTGTGAGGTTATTCGCACCTTGCCTTGTGATGGGTATAAGCGAGCTCAGATCTTGGCCACCAAGGTGCTGCCGCAGATTGCATTTGCGCCGCATTTGAACTTTATCCCCAAGCGGGCCTTGGCCCGCCTTCAAAGTGCTGTGGCGGACTCCTTGTGGCAAGACAGACCTAAATGGCGGTCGAAGCATCTCCTTCTTTGCATTGTGTACAAGGCCCACAAGTTGGATCCATTCCTCTGTCGTGCGGTCACAACAATTGCTGAATCGGTTCGCTTCTTGCAATATTCCGTGTTTGCACGGCAGCAATGGGCGCAGCTTTTTGAACAAGACCAGCTTACTGCGCAAGCATGGATGACACAATTCAGTCAGGCCTGCCAGATCCTGGATATTGAGTGGGTCCACACCTTTGAATTTTCGGTTTTTTGGGTCTGCGCCTGTCAACTTTTTGGATTTCTCGGTCCCTGACCTGAAATGTTTGCTGAAGAGTTTGGCTGCCAACAAATGCTACCATACTGCCTGCCTCATGCCAAGGAAAGACATCAGTACGGCTGTTGGTTTCCTTGACACTACGATGACGCTTTCGGCAAAGAAGAGGTTAGCTGCTATTCCTCATGATGGTTTTTCCTTCCTGTTCTTTTGGGAAAGTGCGGTGACAGGTTGCACTTTGACAGCTGACAGGCTTGCTGCAGCCGGGCTTGTTGACCAAGCCAATTGCCGATTTTGCTCTGCTCCCAAGGAATCCGTGAGCCATTTCGTATACGAGTGTGACGCCTTGCCCGAAGCGGTTCGGCAGCCTTCGACTAACTTCTTCTTCGGCCCTAATTTCAGCACACTGGGCATTGTTGAGATTCCTTTTGACACTATACGCGATAAACTGCAAGTGTCCAGCATTTCGGAGGTTCCTGTGTCTCAGTGGACGGCAGTGCAGGAACAGGTTCAACATGTGTGGACGGATGGCTCCGTGCAACTGACAACCTATCCACGGCTGACCATTGCATCGCTGACCATTGCATCCTTTGCTGTCATTGCGGCTGATGAATCTATCTTAGCTGTTGGTCGGGTCCACCATTGGCGCCTGTCCAGTTATTCAGCTGAGCTTTGGGCCATTGTGGTTGCCTTTGCCAGAGCAGAACAGCCGTTGGTAATCCACACGGATTCCCTTACCATCGTCAAGCAGTTCCTGGTGTTGCTTCAAACTGAGACAGTTCAGGTCGAATGGACCCATGCCAATTGGTGGAGCTTCATTTTGGATCAGCTTCTTCACCGGAAAGAGCTCCACCCTTCTCCATTGCAATTGCTTTGGTGCCCTGCTCATTTGTTGGAACACGTTCCTAGCCAGGCACTCACGGACGAGTTGGCTACTAAAGCTGGGTCTACTCGTCAGGACATCATTCTCAATAGGCTGGCTGACAACTGTGCTAAGCAGCATATTGCCCAACTTGCACACGAGACGAGTCGCGAGCTGCACCTGATGGAGCATGATGTTTTTGCCAGGCAGCTTTGGTTGAGCCAGCTTAATAGAATGTGTAAAAAGCCTGCTGATTCCGGTACATCCAAAGGTCATGTCTCCCCTGAGCCTGCTATTCAGTACTCAGCTAGACAGATGTGTCCCAAGTGGCCATGGGACATCTCGCAAGCCTTATTTACATGGCAGGTCGACATTGACCTTAATTTACCCTTTCGAGCCACGTCCACCTTGACGGAGAACAATTTCCGCACCTTTCTACGCTTTTGCGCCTCCTTGCAGTGGCGTGTCGGGGATGGATTCGCTTGCTCAGTCTTCGAGTTGGCCGTTGTGGCATTTATACGTGGTTGGAGGTTTGAACTGCCTCGAGGAACCATTTGCACGCCTCAAGCCTTCGCCAGCTTGATTCGTTCGGGTTTTGCCTATTGCAAGCAGAAAAAGGTCGTGGTCGCGCCTCTGTTGCTCGACAAACGCAACAAGAGTAACGGCAAGACCTTTCCGAAGGGTGCTTTCCTCGGGGCCGAAGCGTATGTTGAGAATGCTGCATTGGACATGCTTGCTCGTGCGTTTGCCAAAGGTGCCAAAGCAACACCTTGGTCTTGGAGCATCCCGTTTGACAACCTTTTGTAGTCTTGGCTACGAGTGACCCTAGCTGCGGAATGCGCTGGGGTTGCCACCGACTCGGAGTCGCGGCTTGAGAGCAAAAAAAAAGGAAGCTCCCCCCCCGCTCTCTTTCTTGAAGAAGCGTCTTCGCTATCCTGCGTCCTGTTCCTAGGAGCGTACTTGCTCCTAGTAGTAAGGCCAGGAGCCCCTAGTAGCCTTCTTGTTACTACTAGTAAGGCACTTGTTACTTGTTACTAGAAGCGATGCACTTGTTACTAGTAGCGTTTACTGTTTGAGTCTCTTTGACTCCTCGACCTCACACTTTCACCTTTTTGTCCAAGGACAGATGCTTTTGCCTCATTGCACGACTTCCTCTTGAATCACCACGATATCTCTGCAGAGTTTTTGGAGGCCCCAGGAGCTCTAAGTAGATGAGGTCATGAGGTCATTTGAGTAGATGAGAAGATGGGGGTCGTCTATGGGCTTTTCGGGTAGTCCTTTGGGTGTGGTCCCTTGCCTTGCTGAAACCACAGCTTTGCTTTGCTCGATTGAAGGGACGGGTTGTGAGACTTCCAGGGCAACTTCCGTCCCTTCTTCACCTGCTACAACAAGCTCTTGGAGGAGGGTGACTATGTGACCAAGCGTCAGGCAGCTTCTGCGAATTGATGAAACAGATGGTGCTTGAGGGCCTTGCAGTTTTGGCGTTGGGTGGAGGGGATTCAGCTAGGCCCTCAAGCTCCTTAGCGACCTTCTGCTGGCAAGAAAGTTCATGAGGAGCGAGCCAGCGAGTTGAGCGACCAGTGCGTTACGACTTTTCTTCAGAAGTTTGACGGCAGACTCGCAGTGGGTGTAAACTTGTGAGTTCGACATGTTTTGGAAACACTTTTTTAGCACGTTGTGCCAAGAGGTTTTTTCATCATGCATCTGTTTCTTTTATCACTTGGCTCCGCAATTTATAGCCGTGTAGCCGACAGGTCCACGTATTCCTGGAGCTTTATGCCTTAAAGTTTTGGGCCATTTTGTTTCGGGTCAATCCTGGAAGGATAATGCTGACCTACATTGGAGACGACTCGTATTTGCAGCTTCATATGAACCTGCTCAGAGACGAGTCCAAAACCATCCAAGTGGAGGCCAGGCCACCCGAGTGAACGCTGCATTTGCGTCTCAGTGGGTCGCTGCTCAGCTGCTCCACGGTGTAAGCTGACACTTTGGCAACACAGGCCTTTCACGTTTTCAAGATCTTCGTGGCCAACCCTTCTCGGCCGCCCCGTGTCCAAGCCATTCTCTTCAAGAACAAGGCCAGGGACCCAGGGATGTCATCCAAGCAGCCGAACGTCGAACCAGCATGTTCTACAAGTCACCCAGGAGAGACTTGTGAACCTGCTGAAAGAGTTGACTCCTCATCGATCTGATGACAAACAATTCCTGGAGGTGTCTCGGCATGAAAGTGCAGGCTTCCAGAGGTGCAATGTGCAAGGCAGGTCGCATGCCAAACCTGTTTGCTTGGGGACAACTCTCCGTGACAAGGATGGCGAATACTTTGGCCAAACTCGAGAACCAGTTATCTTGCATCGAACTCTCTGCACCGAAAAGAATAAAACCCATATATATATATATATGCAAGTTTATATTATACATGTATACTATTGTAGTATACTTATACACCGTACAGTTCCTGTATGTTCTGGTTTAGGATGGTCGATACTTGTTGTGGGGGTGGACATGTTTGTGTTTTTGAGCGTAAAGTGTAAGGGATTGGGGTTCAATTCGGCCAACGCTGCATAACATCACGAGGAACAAGTGACACGTGTCACATGCTTCGCATCTTCTCTCACACACACAAACAAGGGTGGTGGCAACCAGTTTTCAAAGCTTGTGGTACAAGCCCAAGCACAAGACACATCACGAGCATTGGTGACACTTGCCTTAGTTCCTCCTAAGTCGCACTGGCGTAGCCAATGTTTGAACAGAACACTCTGCTTGCCTTTTTCCTTTAATGATCTGAACTTATGCTTAGCAATTCTCAACAGTTGAAAGATAGATGAGACTATTTTCCGTTGCCAATTTCGTTGTTTCGTTTTACCACAAGAGTCCCGTCAAGGAGGATAGCCCCTTAAGGTTTTGGCAGAGCCTTCCCAGGCCCCCTCAAGCTGAAAGGGGACTGGGAGAACCTCCAAAGCTCAGGATATGAAGACGGTGCTGGCAAAGCTGGAGGACAGACAGCAGTGTCTCCCAAGATTCTTCCCAAGAGGGTGCAAAGGTGACATGAATTGGCGTTCGAAGATGTGAAGATCAGATTGTGTGAGATGCAATGCGAGATGTGCAAGAGAAGACTAGACCAGTCGTGCATGTTTTTATAGTTGAATGATTATGAATGTATGATGAAGTGCACACAGGGAAGCAGCTCTGTCAGCTGTGACAGGAATAATTACTCACCTAAGGTCAAAGATCACAGCTTGAATTGTGGTTGTGAACTTACTTGTGCCATGCGCAGGCTCTAGAAGCACCAGTGCGTAATCCTGGCGGCTACCAAGGCAAGGATGCATGCAGGGCTTATGCTCAAGGTTTGATGCCACTCTACGAGCTTTAGACTATCCAGATTCTTGCAGAGAATTAGTAAAACTCAGTTGAACATTAGTCAAACTATGTTTAAGCTGTCGAAACAAACAGCTTTGGCCCAAGAACAAGATGGGAAGAAGAGGCATTGGTCCCTTTTGGATTGTTTTGACAAGTTGAAGAACTGCCACTGGACTTGGACAGGAGGCTCGGCCGAACCGGGCTCACCCAAGCGTGAGACATCTTGAGGCCGAAGACATTTGTCCAGCTTCGCCAGTTTTTTGTGCGAGGTCTCACATGACCACTCCAAGTGGTTTTGGTGATATCAGTGACGTTGTTAAGACTAAATTGATGAAACTGACTCCCCTTCTGGAACTTCCACTGCTTGGCGAATCACCTACCTTCCCTCCTTGAGACGAAAGAATCCAAGATGGTCACTTGCATCAGCGTTGGCTCTGGCCCAAAAGAGTGATGCACCGCTCCCGCTCCCGCTCCCGTGCAAAAGAGGCCCGACCGTGCGTCTCGCGAGATGGCCCTGTGGAGGTGGCGATCTTCAATGCCATGTCTGGAGGGACCATTTGCAGTTTCCAAGCTGGGTGGTCATGGTCTGTGCTGGATGTGAAGCAGGAGATCTCTAAAGTCATTGGAGATGCAACTTCACTACTTCCTTCAGGGAGGCAGCTCTTATTTGATGCGCAGATCCTAAGAGACAATGATATCCTGAAGAATGTTTCCCACGCAGATGCAGCAGGAGCTGATTCCTTGCACACACTTGAGCTGAGTATGCTTGAAGTATCTGACGATTTCTATGTTCGATACCTTGCCAAACGAACAATTTTTGGGCGCATGGAGATGGATCATGAGTTTCATGAGTTTGAGTTCTGCAGCAGTGGTAGATTTCGTTTCGCACGCAACTTCCTGCAACAGGGCTTCTTTCAGGGCAAAAGACTACGGAAAGAATGTTATTTGTCTGCTGCGAGTCTTAATGTCCTCAAAAGCATTGTGTTAAAGAGTGGCATAATGCAGGCTGATGATGCGGATTTGCCGCTACCAACCCAACAATCCAGACAAGAGCTGGAAATCAAATGTGAAGGGACTCACGTTGTTCTTGCTACAAGTCTTCACCCAAGTCTTTCCCACATCGATGGAGGACGCCGACTTGATCATGACCGCAATATGTCTGACTTCGACACATGTGCAGAGGATATCAAGTCCTTTGGAAAGTCAATCTTGGAAATCTTCGGCGTGCAGCTTGATGGGGCTGCCGTTGTTCGACCACTCCGACGTTGAACACTGAGATCTGACAAATAGCTGGAAATCACGAGAGTACGAACCTCATCTTTCTTCTGGATTCTACTTTTGGATTTTTTTGGGCAGCCGGATGGTCGGAAAGATTACGTCTTCAAGTTGACTGAACCATGGGCAAGAAATGGCAAGAAGTTCCGCACACAGCCTTCACCGCCCGTGTACATAGCCATGCTGATCGATGCGGTTTTTTCCTTGCAAACACCTAAGCCTGCTTTGTGCTGCAAAAAAGAAATGGCAGGATCTTCTTGACTCAAGTAAAGATTTGCTAGTGGGGCCACAGTTTCAGAGGTTGATCATGCCTCCCGAAAAAGAAGGGGTCTGTGAAGCTGGTCTTGAGAGCCATCCAGACCAACAAGCCCTCAGTACTCATAGTCTTTGGCCAAGAGAAATGAAGCAAAGAGTTGATGATCGGACCGAGGTAGGGATGCCATGTTCGCTTTAGCGTTTGCCTCAGTTTGGGAAGTTTAGTCTAGGTCGCCAATCCGCCAATCATTCTTAAACCTTGAATCCATCCAAGTCCTGCGGGCTTGAAAATGTTTGTCAAATTGTAGAGACTGGCGAGAACATTATAAACAATTCAACTGCTCTCACATGCCCGGTGTTTAGAAACATGTTTTTGTGCGGATTCGTCGAGAGCGACAACAGATGCTTTGGGTTGTTATCGACTTAGGCCCAAAGCTGTGGAGCAAAGAGTGCTTCATAGGCAGAGGCTGCTTTTTCATCAGCAATCAGATTATGAACGACATGTGGGATTATACGGACATAAGGTCATGCACGTGATTTATATCATAAACAGGCGAACATGGCGGACATGCTGTCGGTGCTGCGCTGTTGCTGTAGGGGTCGCTGTGCCCAGGCGACGCTTCGGCGGGCTGAGCTTTCGTTCTGGGACACATGTCCACAGTTGTCCACAGTCCACAGCCACTGAAGTCTTATTGAATTGTTGAAAAGCTATCAGAATCGATGGAGTCCTGGAGAATCTTGGACACATTGCGAGGCTTGTACTCGGTTGGTGATGCCTGACTTGTTATGAAGAAGAACGTGCACATACAGAGTGTAACGCACAAGGTTAATTTTGCATCGCCCTGTTGAGCAAATGTTATTGGTTCCTTGCTACCATCGTTCAGTTTGTTGTGGCATTGCCAGTGATTCACTGGAAGATAGTTTAGTTTTGCCCTGCACCATTCTCAGATATTCTCAGCCTCATTGTAGTGTAGCACTGGGAACAGTTGCTGCTGCTCGTGGTCCTTCTATTCCAATGCAGCAAGGCATCCAATAGGTGACATACGATGACATACCTCAAGACCTCAGGCAAGGTGGTGGCAACTGCTCCCCTGCTAAACTATATACTGTATACTGGAGCTTGTAGCTCCGTGTATACACGAGACCGAGTTGGTGCAAAAGACAGGGTGAGGCGATTCCCCAGCATAAATTAGACTGCCACGCTCCACCCTGGCAACCGGACCTTTTTGCCTGCACTGAATTCAAAGAGTCTTGGGCTTCAGTCTTGAGGCTTTTTGCGGCTTGATGAATCTGAACACAACTTAACTTTTTGGCAGCCTACTTACCTAATTACCCTTGCATCAGGCCATGTACGTCCCTTTCCGTAGTTGCGTCCGGTGCAAAAGGAGCGCTGCTTCGATTTCAGCTCCGCTGATTCGACGCATTCTGCAGCTTTGCTGCGCTAGCAGGCCAGTAGGATTTTGTCAGAGTAATCCTCTCAAGAAGCTCAGAGACCTGCTTTTCTGGACGCTTTGCATCCCATCCTCTCAGCCGTTCGATTTGCGAAGCCCCGGAAGACGCGGTCCCTGCGGTCGGCGGTCCACCAGCCTCATGACGTGCGAAGACTTGGAGCGCCGCTGGTCCATGCGCAAGGGCCATCGTCACCTCTTGGAGAGCCTGCAACTAGGATCAAGCTTTCTTTCGGCAAGTGGAGTACAAAAGAGGTCAGGTAGGCTGGCAGTATGCTTTCCGGCCGCATCTAGTTTCTGGCGAAGGATGTCATGCCGACTCAAGTGAGACACTATAGTATAGGTCTATAGACAGGTAGGCCCTAGGCTTGTTAAAACCTAATTATATAAGTAAATGCATAGAATGTCTTTTCAAGCCTTTGCTGATCTTGCCCCTCATCCTGCCAGGGTGCCTCATCCTTCTGGGGTGATGTTTGGCTAGATTGTCAAGCTTGTGTTTGCGGTTGTCCTTGTAGGTTTCAAGGGGTTTGCGCTTCAATTAAAGCCTTAGCCTCGTCACAAGAGATGTAAGATGGGCCATAGATGACCATAGATCAATTTGCTTGCGGATTTTGGGCTTCCGGATCTTCAGAGCCACTTAGGAAGGGCCGCAGCACATTCTCTCATTCCATCAGCAAGAAGTGGCTGCGTCGACAGAAAGAGAGCGAACTTCCGGTCAAGGACCTGGCAAAGCAAACCGAGTCCCGCAAGTACAGAAAATCCAAAGACCGCTTCACGTTGGCGAGTGGCCGAGAGGCATTGGACTGGGAACATGAAGCTTGGTGTGGATCGGTATGTTCTTGTGTTTTGCTGAGGCCAACAGCTTTGCCGAACCCCCCTTCACAGCCGGACATGCTGCTCGATCTTTTGTTCACAAAGAGAAGATATTTGAAGATAGGCACAAAACTCATGACCTATGCACAAAGGTAGTTCACAGATGTTTACAGTGCGTTTTTCTAGGATATGATATGTTGGGTCTGTCCTATTGCCAGTAACAGTCAGTAAACAATTATCACAATTTTCGAACAAGGGCTTTAGTAACCATCATCATCCACTGTTGCTGGGAATAGGATAGACCCAAATGATATGAGCAAACGCCAACACCTGCAACAACCAATTGAGTAAAGTGGTTGTGAATTTCAGGAATTTGGCTAAAACAACCTGCAAATGCAGTAGGCCCGGTAGGCCCCCCTCAAGAGCGATATCTATGCTGAAAGTGTGGCTGGTTCGTTGAGAAGACGTTTTTGCAGACTGCTAGGATAATCGCAGGCAAGCATTGTGCAGGCCACCAAGGTTGAATGAGTGCGATGTGGCTAATATTGTGTGCCACCTGCTCACCAAACAGGAAAATGTTGAGCCCTTCTGCTTTGACACCGACTTTGATTCGGAGTTTGATGACGATTCCTTGTCGGAAGCTTCCTGGAGTTTTTCCAGGCCATGCGGTGCTCGAACAGTTTTCATCAAGGGAACCAATCATGTCCTTGACTTTGTGTTGCACTTTTTGATATTGCTCAAAGATGCTTAAAGTAGTTGCAAACTGTGGCAAGAAAGATCTTCAAAGAACTCTGTGGATTCTGCCACACCCAGGTTCGCAACTTTGAACCTTTCTTGGGATCTCTAGGGGAAGCTGAAGGAAGTACCAGTTACAAGTGGTACCACTTCGGAATTGGACATGAGGTTTTTTTTGGATTCCTTTTTTCTTCCTTTCGCACTGAGGCAATCCACCACGGGTAGTGTCTCGTCCTTGGAGACCTTGTCCGCCAGCGACCCACCGGTCGTGACGACCGCCCTTCGTTTTGTGGCGGAGCGCTGGGAGGAAGCTCAGGTGGTGGCAGATGCTTGGAACGCTAACGAGCCGTGACACATCACATCAAACAATCAAAACATCACCAAATAGTTAGATGTGTGATGATTATGATGATGATGATGATGTGTGTGTGTGTGTCTGTCTTTTTTGTTTTTCGGTAATAAAACAAAGAACATCAGTGGGTGAAGGTAGTGCCCGAAATGTTCCCCACCTGTCTCGCCATGTCTCACTCTGGCTCTTTGAAATGCCCATTTGATCAGGACATCGTCGCCAAGACGTACAAGCCACCGCCGAGGCCAACTTGTTTTTGATTGTAAAGTGGGAAGTTGCACAAAAACCATTGTCTGCTCCATCAGAGGAAAAGGGCTTTTTGATGGTTTTTGCATATTATATATATAACATATACATAGTATATGCATATATGTATATATATATACATATGTATTCTTTGAGGGATTGCCACTTATGCAAATCCTTTTGTCATTCCCTGAGGCAGATCCCGCCGAAAGCGAAAGAAGCACTGGCGTCTCCACTCTCAGTGGAGGGTGAGGACTTCTTGATTCTCGTCGACTGAGTCTATGATGTTTGTGTATCTTGAGCAAATCTCGAACGAACGGCAGGGAGCCGTGGGCAATGTTGTGTACTGCTTAGAGCAGAAACCATTTGAAGCAAGATTTTGGTGACTTCATTTTGACTTCAATCACGTGTTCGTCGCCTTAGTCGCCAACTTGTCGGGGACGGGGCTTTAGAAGCTTGTTTGCTCACCTAGCATGTCAATTTCATTCATTTCCCACGAAATCATCCCTATTAGTGTCGGTGCATCATGTTGCATTTTTGCAACTCCTTTTTCAGTGGTGCTTAAGGCCTGCGTTGGCCTGCATAGTCCTTCCCTGCTTTGCTTTGGATGAAGGTTCAGGGTCAGAATGACCACTAATCTGAAATGAAAACTTGATGTGCATTGTCCCATGTTTTCTTTGAGACGTGCAGTGCTACAAACGCACAGAGAGAGATCGGGGGGACTGCTATGCTGGCGGCAGTGTGACTTGCTTTTGTTTTGGCACGTCTTGCCGTCCTTCAGCAGCTTTGGCAATCTTGGTCCCAGCAGCTTTGGCATGCCTTTGGCTCTTAGGTGGTTGGGAAACTCTCTTTGCAAAGAGTTCCGTCGCGCATTGTCTGTGGTAAGTTACCAATTTGGATCCATTTGGATCTATTCACAGGTTGTTACATCTTGCGTGCAGGTTGTTGCTAGGTCAATTGGTGCCACCGACACTGTCCCTCGGAACCGACACTTGTCCTTCGATGCGACTGGCGGTTTTTCGCTAGCAATTTCGATGTCTGAGGAAAAGACCAAATCCATTTTGCATTGATTCTTGTGAAGACCGCCCGGATGTTTCAGCGATTTTCTGCTTCTTGTATGTGCCCCGCTTGTTTTGGCTTCAGTGCACTGGGACATGGAACTCGCCTAAGACATGTCATAATTAATTTGTGTTCTATTTGTTTTCCTGCTCTTACTCTTTCTACTCTTTTTGCTCGTTCCGTTGATTTGCCTTTTATGTCCTTCCTTCGCTGCTGTCCATCTCCGCCCAGGATCTCTGCAGCCCCTCGCCACGAGGTCCGGCCGATGTTTGCAGGGTGGCCACCGGCGAACCTGCGAAGCGAACACGACCGGGTCCTCTCCTTTGCCAAGCTCCCCGAGGCGGAGGCGGTTCTCTAGTAATGCCCTTGTTGCTATAGTAGTAATGCCCTTTGCTCCTAGTAGCGTCCTTGCTGCTAGTAGCGATGCCCTTTGCTCCTAGTAGCAAGAATGCTCCTAGTAGTAAGGCCAGGAGCCCCTAGTAGCGTCCTTGTTCCTAGTAGTAATAAGACGTGCTCCAGTTGGAAATAAGATCATGGGAAGGGTAAAGTTATAGTACGGGTTGGAGGCTTCAACGAAGGTTTTTGAGTGGCTAAGAGTGTGATGCGTGATGATGAGACCCTGTTTGTGGGTATGTCTCCAAGACCTTGACTTTGTTTTGAGCGAATCTCTTTGAAGGTAGCGCCTGGCGAGGAGACCAAAGCCAGCAACTGCTCACGGACCATGAGAGAGAAGCTGGGCAACAAGCACGGACCTTGTCGCTGTGTTTGGGGCTGCTCTTGGTCGCCCACGTCTCACTGGTGGATGGTGTGGGTGGTAGGCACGAATTGGTTATGGCATGTTATGGCCAAAAAATATAGAGCCCTAAGGAGCCTCATATAGAGTGGAAGATGGTCACCAACTTAGCGACGTAGTGACTTGGTGGTGACCGAGCAAACTTTCCCACATGCCGCTGGTGAACACCTCTCATGAAGAGGAGGAACTGAACCTTTTGATCAGTCATGCGGATGCGCCGTGTCAATATTGTATCATAATATCCGAAAGCCCCTTTCGAAGGATTTCCACGACTTTCATGGGATGTGTTTTCCCTGTGCAGCGAGAATTTGTACTTCCGAGGAGTGTGGTTAGTTCGACCTCGGA